TTTTTTTTTTTTATTATTTTTTTTTAAAGGCGATCGTACGCGAGAGAGCCACAGATGGATTAGCAGAGGCCGTTCTGAAGCAACGCCCATGTATGGCGGTGAGAGGAGATTGTGCCCTTAATAAAAACCCGGGGACTGTGGAGCCCGGAGGCGTAGAGGCGGCGTGCAGTTACGCTAATAATGTGAAAGCGTCTCATTGTGTGCGTAGGCTGGCGATCCCCCGGGAGTGCGTGGCGATGCTGCTGCTGAAGCGAGTGAGGCGGGCGAGGCGGCGAGTGGAGGGCGGGGGAGAGCGGGCGTGAGAGAGCGGGCGTGAGAGGGAGCGGGCGTGGAGACGGTGGCAGCGAAGGGGTGGTTCGGGGAGCGAGAGGGGGAAGGAGAGCGAAGGATATATCATCATCGTCGTCGTCGGCGTCGTCCGTTGTGTAGAAGGGAAAGGGGAAGAGTTATGTAGTCTTTCGTGCGTTCGTTTGCGGTGTTTTGTTTTTGGAGTTGATGGAGGTTGTGTTTGTTTTACAGCATCTGGAGGAAGGTTTGAGGGAATTGAAAGTGAACGCTCTGTGAATTTGATAAGAGTACGTGTTCTTTAAGTGCGAATGACAGTATATATCAGAGGGTAAGAACACCAAAAGGAAACAGGAAACAGAAAACGAAGGAGCGACAGAAACTCGAGGATAACAAACACAGAAACAGATTAACAACAGAAAACAGAAAACAGAAAACGAAAGAGCCTCCGAAACTAGAAACTCGAGATAAGGATGCGATAGGATGTACACCTCGAGTGACTCGGGCCGCACCATGGAGGACACTTCTGACGAAGACGTCGAGGTGGTCAGACAGCTGATCACCCCGCCCCCGCCCAACACCAAGGTCAGTACGCCCACCGTCGGGCAGGAGAGGTTTGTTGTGGTTTCTAGCACTGGGCTGATTGCACGTTTTGGTGGCGGGTGAGGAGGAGGTCTCCGAGTCTCGAAGGAAGCCCCGGGTCGGGAATTTTAGTCGTCCTGATTTGTTTTTTGCAACGATAATAAATGTAAAAAAAAATAAAAAAAAACGCCATTACTTCCCTTTCATATCTGCTCCTATTTTTTGTTTATCCGCCTATCCATTGGGTCACGCAACGGGCGTAGAGGGCTGCTGTTGTCATGGAAAGTATGGGCGTGGGACGAGTCTTGGACGGGCGCCAGGACGCGTTTGACCCATCCGAGCGAACTCGGGACGCGGGTTAGGGATCCCATTCTTGTTGCTCGGGTGACACGGCTACGGGCCAATTAAGTCGTTTTTTTTTCGTTTTTTTGGGTCGAAGCCTTTTCATGATGTGGTGGTGTGTCTCTTGTGGGTGCTCGTTGTGTTTGTTTGTATTGGGATGACGTTTGTAGTTCTGTGAGGATCTCGTTAAAGAGTACACTGGTTCTGCGTGTTGCGATCTCTCTCTCGGTTCTGTGTAAATGCTGTTAATGTGAATGATTTATTCTGGTGACGCTGCATTTTACTTGAAATGGCATCCAGACCGGGCGATCGCCGGGAAACACTCGAAAATACGGCCGGACGGCGTCGTCTCCTCAAAACCTCTTTCACGGGCTTCCGCGGACCGGGAGAGGGAGGGAGGGAGGGAGAGGGAGGGAGGGAGGGAGGGAGAGAGGAGAGAGGAGAGAGGGAGAGAGGGGAGAGAGGGAGGGAGAGTAGGTAGGTAGGTAGGTAGTAGGGAGGGAGGAAGGTAGTAAGGGAGGGAGGGAGGTAGGAGGGAGGAGGGCGGTTGCAGTGGTTATTGTGCTCGGGGTTTGTGTGTCTGTGGGCGAGCGTGGGCGTCGGGCGTCGGTGGGCGCTGCGACGAACGGCGACGGAGGCTTCGCGGGCGGGCTCCTTACACGGGATCTCACTCAGGGTTATAGTCGTCGGGGAGTTTTCGGTGATAAAGGGCGGGTTTGGGGGAAGGGGGGGAGGGGGGGGGAGGGCCCGGGTCGTTATGGGGCGGCTGATAAGGATAAGGCGACGAGCATTCTCTTTTCGCGCGGCGGAGGGGAACATGGGCGGGGAAGCCTCGCGACGACTTGAGATATCGGCGGATTAGGTAAAGGGGGAAGGAGGAGGAGGAGGAAGGAGGGGGGGGAGGAGGGGGAGGAGGGAGGAGGGAGGAGGGGGGGAGGAGGAGGAGAGGAGGGAGGAGGGGGCAGGAGGGAGGAGGAAGAGGGAAGAGGGAAGTAGGAGATGGAGGAAAGAGGATGGAGGAGGGAGGGAAAAAGAGGGAGGGAGGAGGAGAAAGACTACGACGAATGGGAGAAAAGGGGAAGAGAGGACAGGAAGCAGAATACGGAGGGTAAAGAAGAAGAAA